AATTTTCTTAATTCCCCATCTTACTTGCCATCTAATCCTATCAAACATTTCACACCAAATGATATAAAATTTTTCATAAATAAATATTCCCTTAAAAAATCTCCAGGTTTTGACCTGATTACTGCCGAAGTAGTTAGGTGTTTACCTAAAAAAGCCTTTATCCATCTATAATTATATAATATATAGTATATAATATATAATATATAATATAATTATAATTATATACAGTATATAATTATCAGTTAAACTTGTTCAGTCTTATATGTTTATCTTACTTTTTATATTGACTTTTTTTAATACAACTTAACAATTAAAATGTAATAAGTACCTACTTAAGTACTTATGAAAATTTAGATTTTTTTTAAAATTAAGTAACTTTTAAATTATAAAAAACTTAATACTTATATAGGAACACATCCTTATAAAGTCAGTCTTCTGTTGCTCACTATTTTCTATATTTGGTTATTTCTTTAACTAACCTTACTTATTCTTATATTATGTTTGAACTCTGAAATAAGTTTTAACTTAATTTTGTATTGCTAATAAGATTGTTAATTAATTAGGCCTAATTTTAAGAAAWGTTTAAAAATATTGTATATTTCCTTTGTTGTATTAATTCTAAATTCCTACTTATTACATTTCAATTGTTAAGTTGTACTTATTAAAAAAAGTCAATATAATAAGTAACTTATAAGACTGAACAAGTTAACTGATAATTATAATATGCTAACCTTATTTTTTCTTATGTTATGTTTAAACACTGAAATAAAAATTTTAACTTAATTTTGTATTCCTATTAACATTGTTAATTAATTGTTAATTAGGCCTAATTTTAAGAAAAGTTGAAAAATATTGTATAAGTACTTATTTATTTTGTTGTATCAATTATAAATTCTAAATTAATTTGAAAATTAATTTTTTTAATTTGTTTATAATATGTAAGTACTTAATTAGTTGATCTGTGCAATATGCGTAAGTAATTCAATTTAAATAATGCTCTGTCAATTCTTAATGAATCAAGATATTTTAATGCAACAAAAATCAAATTAAAGCTTATTTTAATATTTATTATTCACTAGCCCCATATATCATTATATCTAATTAATATAGAAGAAACAATCCGATCTTGCACTTGCCCCATGGAAAGGGGCAAGTGTGACGTTTAAAAAAAAAATTTAAAAAAAAAATATATTCTAAAGTGAGTGATAAAATAACTTTTCTGACTATGCATTCCAATTGTGTACATTTCAAGGTATAACATTATGAAACAATAAAAATTATAAGTTAAAAACAAAAAAGTTATGTTAAATTTAATATGAACTTTGCATTTTTGCGTCACACTTACCCYACTTAACCTTATTATTATTTTTGTCTGGAAACATTTTTTCGGGTTGTAGATTTGGTCCGAAACTTTTATCTATCACCAATTTGGATYCCTATGTACCTCAAAATGGTACTTTAAAGAGGTAATTTTTCTCTAAAGTTCAAACCTCGGTTCAAAGTTTTTACCGAGGTTTTTCCAATAATGTATGAGGAAAAACACGTTTTACTGTTGCTCCGCTCAAAATCGTTTTATTGAAGAAATGATGTACTATATTGCTTTAAGATTTAATACACGCACCCCACTTAACACAGAAAAGACGAGTACACTCGACCTCCTACTGCACAAAAAGAGCGACTCTCCCGTTGTTTTTKATCATTGATAATTGTAAAGTTTTTTTATACTGAAAAAAGCTCGGAAAAAAGTATAATAATTACCTACCACGATATTGTAAAAATAGTATGATTATTAAAAAAATCGGTTAAGTCACTCCARCTGTGCTCAGTGATTGTGGAAGTTTGTTCGGTAAACGGAAAAAAAGTCCCTGGAAAAAAGGTATACAAATATATGAAGATTGTTTGTTAAGACCTCCGTATTTATCAAATGCAGTTCTTCAAAATGTAAATGAAGATTTAGATGGACTTATGGATGAAAATCTATCATCATCTGTTAGCATGACAGCTTCAATATTAGTTTATGACATTTCAGAAAGATACATTTAAGGATTTAAGTAATATATCAGAATTTGGTGATTTTGGTAGTGTTTTAAATTTAAAAGATTTTTCAATATCTGACAAATTCTTACCCTTTATATTTAAATCAGAAAAAAAATTTAGGCAGCGATAATATTAATTCTTCAACAGAGTATTAATGTATCATTAGATGAAGATTCAATGACAGTAGTAAAAAAATCTAGCCTTTGCTGGCTGTTTGATAATAAAAATAAAAAAGTAAGCAATGATCGGCTACAAAGGTTTATAAATAATAAGCCTGGTAATAACTACAATACAAACAAAATAAATAAGCAAAAAGTACCCTCACACAAAGATAAATCTAAATCCATTTACAAAAAACCGAGCAAAAAACAAAAGACCTAAGTATTTTTTCAAGATTCAGAAGACTCTAATGTGGAGTTAAAATTAACTATGTGTTAATGGACCAGATAATAATGATGTTGTTTTGTTGGATTCAAAAGAGTTACAAGTTTCTAACACCGAAGAAGAATATAAAAAACCGGCATGGAATGACATTAAACCAGGAGTTTATTTATTAGTAAGATTTATGGGATACAATAAAAAAACCTCGTAGAGAAGAAACAAAATTTCAGTATGTTTGTWATGTGATTCAAGTAGAAACTGATGAAGATGAAGGTATCATACAAGTTCAAGGCATGGCAAATGAAAAAACAAACAAACATTTCTCTATGAAAGAAAATGACACTTCGT